TGTTACTGTAGCATTTCCCCTGAACTAATCGCGTATCCGCAAATTCGTGAAAGGAAATTCAAAGTAAGTCACAGTTTGACAAATTATTGTTATTATTGACAAGAGCTATCCACCTGTAACTATATGTTAATGACAAAAAGCATTATTGCCGCTCTGACTTTTCATCAAAAAATTGTAGAAGAAAACGTTTTTAATATCAAAAATGTTCGTAATTTGAAGCAAAGATCGAAATTTTCTTTTCAATGCTTAAGTATTCCAATATGCTACCAATTAAACATGGAACAATTTCAAAATAATGCTTAATAACAAAGTTGAAATTCGATGTTCAACTGTTAAGATCTTCTAGAAAATTTCGAAAAAAAAACAGCTTTCAATATTTCGTACTCGTACTCGTACTCCCCAAGGGAGCCTCTATCACCCCTTAAAAGCAATTACGCCAATTTTGAATCACCCTGTATAGGTATACCAACTTACAACTTATCAACGTTCCACTCCACAATTCTAAGAAATGTCTTAGGACAGTAAGAATATCATATTAAGGACTCTTGGAATTTCTGTGAATTTATCAAAAACCAAAAAAAAACCACAAAATCACTTTTTTTTAATATCGCTTGATGTAACATCATAATATACCAATATCCCAATTGAATATGCAATAGAGTGTATAAAAAATAAATGTAATGAAATCGAACAACATTCGATAATTCCAGAAAAAGAATTTATTGAAGCAGTAGAGCTATGCCTAAAATCTACATATTTCAAGTTTGAAGAAAAATATTATTCACAAATATAAGGTGTAGCAATGGGTTTGCCCATATCAGCAACAATTGCAAACCTTGTTATGGAAAGCTTGGAAAAAACATAGTAACAAGCCTAAATTATAAACCATGTGCTATGTGGATGATTGCTTAATGTGTTTACCCATAGTAAAAATTCAATATACCCTAAATAAATTCAACAATTTTCACGACCCTATAAAATTTACAATAGAGAAGGATAAAAATCACTCAATACATTTTTTACACATAACAGTAAATTATGTGTAACAACGATATTTAACAAAGAGAGTGTGCGAACATAAATACAGCCTGAGAAATATTAGTGAAAATAAAGCATCATTAACACAACATGCACACCAAATGTCACATAATTTCGATTTTAACAACGCAGATATATTAGATAGGGAAACAAATTATCATAACAGAAGAATCCAAGAAATGATACAAATAAAAAAAACGTGCAAAAGCAGTAAATTTCAGATCAGATACTGACAACCTTAGCAACATTTACCGTATTTAAGTATGGAACAGCCAGTTCACTGGTAAAAAAGCAAAACTATTTCTGCTTATCTCAATACGTACGCGTTCTCATTCTTGCAAATGTAGAAAATTATGACAAATTTAAAGATTTAAGAAGGCAAAGACTTAAAAGAACGTTAATGAGTAATGAGCTAACTTTTTCAAAAATTTTGCTCTCCCAAAAGAAAGATTTTTCCTTTTACAATACAAAATACAAAATGGAGGATGCAGAAATCAAAATAGTGTGTTATACTGACGATGCCACTCTTATTGCAGAAAGTGAAGATGACTTACAAAGGTACATGTTTACTAAATATGGAAATATCACCGACCAAAACAAAGTGCTTAACAACATCAAAACCCCTCTAAGGTGCAAACTGGAACTTGACGGTAGAGTAATCGAGCAGAAAATTAAATTTAACTACCTTGGCGTGAAACTTTCCGGCTTTGGGGATATTGAGGCAGAGGTGAGAGATCAAACAACAATGGTGCAATAAGGGTATGGGAACGGACACTAAATCGAGGATCTACAAAACCAATGTGAGGCTGGTGATGACATAAACCGCAGAAACCAGGCCAGAAGCAGCTAAAACCAAAAGACACCTAGAGACAGCTGAGACGAAAATACTCCGTATAATCACCGGAAAGACACTGCTGGATAGAGAGAGAAGCGAGGATATCAAAACAGCCTGTAATGTCAAGAACATCAATGAATGGGTAGCAAACAGGAAGAAGGAATGGAATGAGTAGATAAGCAGGATGGACCACCGCAAACTTGTCAGAATCGCTCGCGACAAGTCCCCATTGAGACGAAGAGACGTTGGCCGCCCCAGGAAACGATGGAGCGACAGCCTCACGCAAGTTAACGATAATTGGCGATTCGCCTAAAATCAAGAATGAAGAAGAAGAAAAAGAATATTTAGACAAAATTCTTCATATTATTATAAGCAAACCATGTAAGCGTATTTTTTCTGGTTGTTTGTAAATATCACATATGCCGATTTAAATCACCCTGTATAAACAGGTTTTGCGTTACACGCCCGGATACTACTGACTAACGAATGTATAACATACTGAGGAGAAAAGCCGCATGAAGACGAAAGTCATGATGAAGCTAGGTGATGTGATGTCAATGTGATGTCAATGTGATTCAAGGTATTAAATTAATGTCAAAGGTAGGGACAATCCCTCAATAAACTCACCTTAAATCTTCTGAGAGGCGCACATTCTTAGAGTCTTACCATGGTCATTCCGAACAATCCCAAAAATCAAGACAGTACTAATAACGTTAAGCTTTACGTTTATGAATAACACGTCACATTCACAAAGTTTGATCTCGAAAATTACACTATCTAGCCACTAGGGTGTCCCTGGATCATTCAGATCCGATGTAACTTACACAAAAATGTAAATTTTTCAAGGCTGTCAACGCATTTAAATTCGAGATAATGTTACAGCCGCAAATTCTACATCGCGAGATAAAACGCGTGAATTATCGCGTTTAAACGAAGGGCCAAATAATACAACCCCAACGGCAACATCACGACTACGCGGATGGCTCCACCCGGATTGTGAGCCCCTAAACACCGGAGCAATCCGGGCAATCTCGAATATGGCCGAACAGTCCGTGCACCGGAGCCCAGGAAACAACAGCCGTGAAATCGGCTGTCGGGGTTGGAGGCCACTGGAGCTCTATCATTCTAATGAGTGTATACAAACCGGTTTTGGAATGTATGTGACACATAATCAGAAACGGGATGAAGAACTGACACTTTCATTTGATCGAACATGCTAGTTTCAATTCGCGAGTTCAAAAGTCCAAACGCCCACTGACGGATAAATTATAACTACACTTTGACTAGTAAAATTTTACTTATTAAAAGACTTATTTTGTTCAGTTTACTCAGCTTTTGCAAGCCTTGAAACAGATAGATACGTATTGAAAAGTGTGTAAGGATTGGTTTAAGATATAGACTTAATAACAAAGGTAAAATAATGGAATGTCAGGAAGTTATTACCAATCTAACCGTGATTTTCGCAGTTAACAATGTAGTAGTAGTAATGTTTTCATTTCGCAGCACCATCATTTTTTGTGCCAAACTTGCAAAATATGGATCTCAACAGCATGTGGTTTCAACCGGACGGTGCTACATGCCATACAGCCAGAGAAACTGTTGAATTACTACACGCGTCATTTCCTGGTCGTGTTATTTCTTGTTTTGGAGATCGGCGCTGGCCGCCCAGATCATGCGATTTAACGCCTTTGGACTTTTTTCTTTTGGATTTGTTAAAGTCACAAGTTGTCAACGATTGAAGCTATTAAAGATGAAATTCACCGTTATATCTCTAAAATGCCGCAAAATTTATGCGCAACAGTCCTTGAAAATTTCATGAAAAGAGCACGTCTGTGCCAGCAAAGCCGAGGCCGTTATTTTTTCAATGTTTTATTCCATTCATAACCTCATGATGTGAACTTCATTTTTCAATAAATGTTTCAAACTTATGCCACAAATACATATTTTATTTAAAATTCAAATGCTTATTTATTAAAATTATTATTGGAACCCTTTATTATAAAGTAACGGTGTAGTGGAATCTCTAAACTATATAGCAACACTTTATTTAACCGATATATTTGAAAAGTAATGTCTGAAAAAATTCACAGGTAAATTATGTTACATTTGTACCTGATCTTCATTTGGGCACTGTTTTATTGATTTACATCACATTGTTAAGAAATCCGTTGTTCAACATAAAGAGAATATGAACCATCGAAATGCAGAGCGTAAAGAAGCAGCAGAGAATAGACCACATTGATTCATTGAATTCACAAACATACAATTATACCAAATAAGGTCCACTTATTCATCTCAGAGTTTGTGATTATGTGTTGTACTGCCGATGATTTTTTAATCAATATTGTTCTGTACAGTTACTGTTTTACGAGTAAGCAAATGCTCAATCGTCTAACTTCATTAAATCAATCTAGAGGCATCCGCAGCAAACGCTTCCTGGTCGCTTAAACCTTGCAATATATGCGGAGCTTAACTGCTTACGCTGCAGTGAACTCTTCACTTTTTACCCTTATTTATCAATGGCGTAATTTGCAAAATATCCAAATGCGTAGAAATGTGTCAAAAAAGAAGAGGCCTTGAAGAAAGTGATGTAGACAGTGAAACTGGAAAATAATTCGTCCGCATTAAATGAAACATATAGTGTCATAAACAGTCAATAATTATGAATGATGTAGCGTAAAGCTTTGCCAACAAAATGAGCAATCTTGAATTTCATCAACAGACATTTTTTCAGCCAATTTCTAAATTGTTTGATTTATTAAATTTAGAAATTCGGGAAGATACTTGGAAAACAAGGGAATAAACGAAGAAATCCCGTAATCTGTAGATAGTATGAAAACGTGGACAGAGAAATAGGAAAGTAAAGTATTTGTATTAAATTCAAAATAAAATCATAAACAAAACCAACAGTGTTCATTCAAAGTGAGACAAAAATAAAATTTGCATAATCATAGACCAACTATCTAAAGTACGGAATAATGACTATTTAGCCACACATTTTTGTCCAAATGCAGCATCAATCTAAAAAAACACTGTTCTTATTTAAAATGCAGGCTTCTGAAAATGCCGTTTTCAGCCTAAACGAAGTTGATGGGAAATGCCTAGGAATGCTTGTATCTCAAACTCCTAAAACTGACTAGATATGTTTGGTGCATGTTAACCTGTTGAACATGTTCCGCTCCCGAAAAACATTGACTGATTTTGTGAATAATGTTTAGCTTAAATCTTAGCTGTTAAACGTGACATCTGTTTACAAGCTAAAATGACTTGACGAGAACAAATTGGTATGCAACCTAGGTCCTGTCAAAATCCCCCTTCTTTGTCCCTTCTTCTTACCAAAAATTGTTCGACGGAAACACGTTAAGAGCGATGGATATATGTAAAGAGAACGACCGGTCAATCCATCAAAGCAGAATAATATTGATGAAACTAATCCGACAAAGACCAATGATCAGCTGCATAAACCGAATGAAATTGAAACTATTTAAATCAAATAATTTCAAATTCTGTGAAAAGCACAACATTCGTTTTTAAGCAACCAAAAAACATAGCAAAAAGCAAAAAAAATAGAATCAATAGGTTACTGTAGGAGCAAAACCGAAACACCATATGCAAGAAAACTGACAAAAGCCACAACGTTCAATCAACCATTTTATTAACAATTATTTTAAGCTAATAACATTTATATAAACCTGTCATAAAATCAACAAAAACTGTAACAAACAATTGATTAAACTTGAAGTAGGATGGCCACACCAGCCAAAGTCCATTTGGATGCTTTATCCTTGGTTTTCAAATTGAATGTCCAAACAAAGGTCGGACCTCTCATTCGCGTTTTGTATACGGGACAATCATACATATTTCGTAAATCCTGTTTGTCCTGCGTAATTGCCTTAATAAAAATTACAGGCACTACTGGGAACAGCTCTTTCAGTTTTGAATCGGAAATACTGTTTAACTGAATGTCCCATCTATAATACACAGGACACAAAGTATCAATTAGACAGGGCTTATACGCTGGAATGTTCAAACAAATTCATTTCAATTAAATGTTGACAGAAATCATACGTATATTGCCGCATTTAAATGCCGAGTAAAATTTGTATTAAATGCTTGGAATGTGATTAGGAGTTGTCAATACTGAATTACTTAATAGGAAATTGTCAACATAGATATACCTATACTTTTAACGTCGAAAGTTGATGAGAATAGCCTTGAAAGATTCGAAAGTGTTTCCAAGAACGTATATTAATACAGTGAACTAACTTCTGCTTTCCTCATTACTATAAACTGATTGAATGGATTGGCCCCATGTCTTTTGGGGGTTATTTCGAAAGGGAGACGACGGCGAAATATGTAAAACAGCTATAACCTTCTGTACAGGCTGATTAAAAATAGGCGTCCTTTAATAGGTCACTGTAGCTCAGAGATTCAATATTAAGCAATATTTTAGAGTAATTTAGTGGTAATTTGTTACAATATCTGTATGTCTATTAATATCAATTAAAATCCATGATTGTTGTGGACACTCTCAATCGGAAAGCCCTTCTACATAATAGACGAACGGATTGACGAATTATTACAAGCCAATTGGGCCTTCGGAGAAAGTTCAGAGTGAAATTGCCTAGAAAGTGGCCACAATTAAACACCTGAGTTGTAGAAAAGGCTCAAATAGAACAAATTAGAAATGTTCGATTATTTCTAATTACAAAAAAAATTACTAATTTTGAAATATGATTACCTAGCGCCTTCCATAAACAGTCCATGCACATAGGCACCTTCTCTTGGAGCAGAGTTAAAGTCCTCCTTTTGCTTTTTAGTAACATCCGTCATCAGGCACATTTTATCCAGAGGCCATTCGTTTTTGCGAGCAGTTTGTTGCATGATTGCAGTTAGGAAAGATTGAGGATTGAAGAACCCACCCAGCCAAACTGCGGCTGGCATCGAAAAGTCGGTTGTCCAGCCTTCTAGTTCTTTGATTCTTAAAAATTGCGCGCAGTTACAAGCGAAAAAATCTAGTCATTAGAAACTACCTTAACGAAAGGTCCCCAACCCATTGGCCAAGTGGCAACAAGCTTGGGTACGCTTTGACTGACCAGGACTCGGGCACCGCATCCATAAATAGAGCTTCTTCAAGCACTTCCATATCGGACGTTATAGTTAGTTCTCCCTTTAGGCCCAAATCGAGCTCTTTTAAGGATCGCTTCATTTCTCGCGTCAAAGTGTTCATTCTTTCGCATTCTTGAAACGCCACAATTATGTAGGGTGTCCGCTCTTCAACTTTGGCCATCATTTCTTGGACTGGGAATTCTTCAGGGAGTTTATCATATATTTCTTCCAGTGTGCTTCGTACCTACAGTTGGAGTTAGTTGCGGAAAAATTAACTATTATCGCCAACCTTATCTTCGCGAGACATTCCACTGCCAGCAGCGGCGCTCGAGTCTCGGGGCTGCATTTCAAATATTGTTCGAAACATATTTTCCGAGGTGCTCGCCAAAAATCCAATTTCAGCGTTCGGATGCAGGCCATAGAGATACGGACTTTCTGCAGGCAGTCGATCATCGATATAACGATGGTATCCTATGTAATCGGTATTCGGTGGCGCAAAGAATGCTAGAATAAAGCCACGAAAATTAACACGAGGGCATGGATTTTACCAAGATGAAGCAAAAAAGATGTTGAACAAGACTTGCGTTCACCCGAAGAAACCTGGGCAGAACATGAAGAGAGCGCGTTCCAAGAAAGTTATTAGCAACACTAAAATATACCAGGGGCCAACTGTAGCTCTCCCTCGATCAGCTCCGGCTGCATGTATGTTAGTAAATAGTTTCTGCACAATCGCCTGTCCCAGTCATCCGTAATATGACCGCCGTACATTATTTCACCAAAAAGATAGCGTAGATCTTCAAATGGTACCTAAAATACATAAACTGTTCCCGTTTGTACAAAGTTCTAGTAGGAATTACCTTGTTATTGCTCTCTAAATAGTTATACAAAACGCTGACGCTGATGGTTAAGTCGCCAACATTGAACGGATAGTTTCGATTCCAGCCCTGAGGCCCAAATTTCCGCCGCTCGGCTACCACGGCATGGAAGTAGCAAAGAGCGAATAGAATGGCCTTAAATTCGGCCTCTTTGGAACACATTTCCAGTGTTTCCTGATTAAAATTGTCCAGAGCTTTGTGCAAATTGGCATTAATGCCAGTGGGTGGTTCGTTTGTTATCTTAATGGAACACTCTAGTATCCCTTGTGGTATCACGCAAGAGTGCGGATCAGACGATGGCTCAGCACTTAGATACAATCTGTATTTTTCATGACCTAGATTAGCAAAAGTTAGAGCCATTACCAATTAATTAATCAATACGAAATACTGTTTAACCGCCATATTTTGAAAAGTTGAGAGGTCTACTTTGCAAACAGCAATAATGAGAGGAATTGCACTTGTAGGCTAAACCGTAGCTACAAATCCTGATCCGAAATAACCGAACATTATGCCCCATTTGGAGAGCTTTTGGCTATTAACCTACTGGCCGATATACAACTTCAACATACAATTTTAGGAGTTTCTGGTATCGGAGACTCAAGTCCCCGAATGAAGGATAAGTTCACATTTGCGATTCGTTCAATACTAAAAATGCATCAATTTCTATGCGATTCCGTGGCATGAACCGAATTAACCGTAAATTATCGTCCTGTTAGAGTGGTTTCTATGATTAACCAAAGATATCTGCCCAATTACCCATTTTAGACCTAAACTGATCAACTCAAACTTGGTCCAAAAAATCGTCGGCAAATTTTGTCAATGCAACGAAGCAAGAGAATGAGAAAATAGCGCTACTTCAATAGTAGAACGCTTTCTACTGATCCGAATTAGCCGAAAATTATGGCTCGATCTGAACGATTTCAATTTCTAACCCACCAGGTACTACAGACGATGTCCGATAAAATGCGACATGCATAAATTCAAATATAAATCAACATAGTCTTGACTGTCTTCACTAATAGTGAAAGTGGACTCACCTCCTTCAGAACACTGTTCCATTTTCTTCTCTAAAGTAGCTAACCATTTGACGACCAGATGAATGTTCTGAAGAATTACCCAATGTCCATCTTGAGCGGCTAGATCCATGGCATTTTCCGCAACAATTTCCTGCCCTTGACCCAACGAAACGCTATGAAAATTGCCAATGTCGAATGTGAAACCCAACTTCTTTCCCATCATTTCCACATCCTTCAACGGGTTCACGCCAGGCGAAAGAATGAAAAACACTGGCGTTTGAGCGCTGGTTTCCTCATAGGATTTTTCGAAACCAACCGTTCTGGCTGTTACGTATCGAGTGCCTAATTTTTCCTCGATATACAAGCGAACAGCATACGTCATTCTATCATTCCTCAAACATCGCATTATGCATAACCTTTGTAATGTTGTTTTGTTTTTCCATTCTCCCGGGAATTTTTCCTTTTCCGGGCATTCGCTTTCAACAAACTTCCGCCAACGCTTTGCTGATCCTTCTAAGTCTTTGTCCAGTCCTCTGAATTCGTCCATTAGTGACAGTGCTTTAATGCCTCCCCAAGAAATATTATTTAAAAAATCCACTGGTGAATTTAGATTGGCAATGACAGGAAATCTGAGCAAAAAATCGAGTTCATCAGGCATAATTTCGCCCAATTGTATATAAATTTGGAAGGTCATTTGAGCCATGAACGTTAGCTTGTCACACTCGAACAGACCCCTAGAAGTGTACATGAAAACTGAAAACGAAATACTCTCCAGCAAATTAACCACTCGATCTTTGAGTTTTTCAGCTGGCTCTGCTCTCTTGAGGGAATCGCGAAACACCACACTGAAAGCTTTCAGGGAGAATTGATATATCATATTTATTCTAAATAAGTCGTTTAGAATGAAGTACAGAAGCGAAGCCCTGGCTGCACATGGACGATATTGTTCCCGAGCTTCGTCGATTTTAACTGAGGTCACTTTAGCTTCTTCCACTTTAATGGCAATTTCATTAGCCGTTTTTTTAGTTGTTTCCAAATTAAGGACCAGCTCGACATCACCTAATATGTTCCCAGTTGCTGAAGACAATTTATAAAGAAGATTATCTTCACACGTTTTCAGCGTAATCTTAAAGTCGTTTTGCTGCTTAGTAAGCGATGATTTCAGTAGCTCCAAATCTGGTCGTTCCACCTTGACCACTTCGGCCAACAGTTGCTCTTCCAGCCCATCACGTGTTACAGTAAAATTAATCAGGGTGGTTTGAGCCTGAATTTCAGGCTTATAATGGGGATTTGCAAGCTTTGTATGTAATATCAACCTGAAATTGGGATCGTAGTCTACTTCCTTATCGCCCATTTTAATTGCTTTTCCTTTTTTAATCAACACTCTGCCAAGCACTGGATCTAAAACAGCATCCAAGTTTTCTCCAATATTTTCAATCAACACAGTTTGGCCCTTGGAAATGCAATCTTCAATAACATCTAGATACGTTCTTTGAGTTGTTCTCACCACTCTTAAATTTTCTCCGAATTTAGTTTTAATCCATTTTATACCCTGCAACTGGGGATCAATCATCAATGGCCAACGACTCGAATTAGTTAATATACTAGCATTTTCCGCAGACATGCGATCGGTTGGAAGACCCTCGTTATTCCACTGGGCAATTTTGGCATCATCTGCCAACAGATTCATTGGATCCAAACCGGGAGTCATAGGAATTGGAACTTCTAATGTTTTGAAATATGGCATCCAATGCTTGTCTAACATATCCGTTCTATACTTCTTCATAAAACATCCGAGATACGAAAGAAAGGCTGTAACTAATAACATATCTCCTGGGATAGTTATAATTGAGGCATTGAAATCTTTTATAAGTTGCCTCCAACGGATATTCTCTGACGCTAAGCCATTAACCAGTCGGTTAGCTAGATCGATCATTTGCGTAGTGGCATCTGCTTCAGCTTGACATTTCAACTTAGCATTTGTGGCTTCTTCAAAATCTGCTCTCAGCACACCCAACTGTTTCTCCAATTGATCCAATTTCAGCTTCAATTCTGAAAGTCTTCCCCTCGCATCAGAAAGCTCTTTATTGGCTAGAGCCAAAGCCTTCCGCTTGGGCTCTACTACCACAAACACCTCGTAGAACTTAATAATGTTAATCACCCATGCACATAAACCTGCTGCAGCCGCTGACTTGGTGAGAATTTTTTCCGGACTAAATTCCGGATCTTTCAGATATTCAAGTGTGGCTTTAACAGTGTCCGGATGCATGTTTTCTTTATCATAAGTAATCAGGTCGTTCAAAAATTGATCGACTTTATTCATCATCGATTTGCATTCCTTCCAGCTGCGATCTTTGGGAATTTTTCCTTTTTTCGAAAACAACACGAGAACAGCAGCGCATACCGAAACCACAGCCTCTGGAGGGCTACCAAAAGATTTTAACTCAGTCAGATTGTTTTTGTTTAGCGTATTTAAGGCTTGTTGGGCTGCAACTAGTGCGGGTTCCGCCTTTGCTAAATCTTCCGCACAAATTTTTGCTTTAGCCGACACGTCTTCTTCAATGGCCTTAACTTTCGCTTCTTCTTCACTAGCTGTATCTTGTTCTTTGGCAACCTTTTCATTTTCGATGGTCAAAACGTCAATAAGAGCAGTTGCAGCTGCATTTTTTTCATTCAGCTCCACCTCTTGTACAGCCAATACGTCTTTCAATCCGTCCACTTCTTCGGAAGTGGATGCCAATTTGGTTAAACCGTTTTGCAGTCTTGTAATGTTGTTGTGTATGTCTGCAGTTTTCTCCGTCAACAGTTTTCTGTACAGATCGATTTGTTCTAAAAACGACTTAGGGGTGGTATAGTTGTAGCGTTTTTCATTCAACAGGTAAATTTCCGAAAAAGTGTTTACAACGCCGTGTGCAAAGGACATGAATAGAGATACAGAGTTGACGAGTTCTGGTGGCAGTACTTCGATTTCTGCTAAAAATCTACGAGATACAGATTGCAAAGCTTCGGTGGGCCAATCATGGAACCAGTCTATCGAGGAGCAGTTAACAAGAGCCGGAAACTTTCTGGCTCGCACTCGCAGAGTTGAACCCACCGGCGAGAAGCACAAAACTATTTTTAAAAGTCGCCTGACTCTATCAATGAAAAACTTCCAGCAGTTCTCTCTGGTATCTTGCAGTCCAACACTTTTAACCTCGCCGCGCATTGCGCTGATGACGTTCTCCACATTCTCGTCGGGAAGTAGTTCACTTATTTCTCCTGACGCTAAGACATCATTTATTAACACAAGATAAGATTCATCGGGAACTTGGGCATCAGTCATCAAAAAAACTATGCCGACACTTTTGAGTCCCACTTTCATGTAGAGCCCCGCTATATCGGCCTTCATATCAGCCATAGCATATCCCTTTTTGAGCTGGATTTGAAAAACTTCGAATGACGATATGAAAGCCGCCAACCTGGTAAGCGATTGCTTTCCAAAACCTCCAACACCCACAAGCAAGGCGTTGCCTCTTGGTGCTTCCAAAATGCGATTTATTCGACAAATATGGTACATGGCATCTTCGAACAAGACCAGATTCATTGCTGCCACCAAGTCATTGTATCCGTTCAATGCTTCATGCAACAGATGACTCAAGTGATCAAAATCGAGTATTGGAAAGTATTTCGGATCTCCAATGCCTTCGGCAAAGTGGCAAAATATTAAGGGCTTTTCAAAAACCGTATTTTCATCAAGTTCCTCAAAACCCTTTTTCACCGAGTCGATTATCAGTTTATTGAACGTGTCCATATCGCGCTTTTCAACCAATTTGTCTCCATATACCCTGTTGGCTTCATGCATCCAAAGTCTTATAAACGCCGTCTGGTTGGAAATGGCCGGGCCATGAGCAAAGAGCATTCCTTGGAAAATATTCGACAAGTCGCGAAGCGTAAATGTATAATGAAACTTAACAGCAGTGGGCAAGAACGTCTGTCCGACTTTGGTGTGTAAGGAAAAGGCCGCCTGCACAATTATTGGGCATAACTTTTGTATCACAGCGTTGAACTTATTTTGAGGATTGGCTAAATGCTGAGAGAGAATTGAGTTGTAAATGTGAAGGCAATTCTCTTCCGACGGGAAACTGACAGCAAATACACAGAAATGCCGTTGCAGCCTGGGATCGATAGTAAATGATCCGGCAGTCGGATTCATTGCCGATAAAAACTGAACATTGTGAATTTCCTTCAAACTCAACTTTTGCCTGTCGTACCAGTGCTGATAATCCATGAATTGTTTCAGAAGTGTGTGTGGCTGCACAGTGAAGTACTTGTCCACTTCTGGCATATTCATGTCGTCAATAAAGTAAATCATGGTTTTGTTGCCAGGTGGCCCATACACTTTTCCAGCTTTCTTCTCAAGAGGTTTTTCCAAAATTTGTTGCAACATCTCAGATGTTGTGTAAAAGTTAAATGGCACGTTTGTCACTGCATAGTGCTCAGTCAGCGAATTAAGCTTCTCTTGGATAATCACCGACTTTCCACTACCAGCAGGACCCACAAGCATGACCGGGACCCTCATAGATACCAACAGATCGATAAAAAATCTGATCCTGCTGGTTTCTGCAGTATTCACTAAAGTAGCTTGCAAGGGAATATCTGTGTCGAGTTCAAACGGAGAAACTAACTCCGTCCATGGCACAAACCGTTTGTTTTCTTCTTCGATGTAGTATTGGAAAACATTGCCACCAATTGGAAACTTAACAGTCTTAAACTCGTTAGTAAACCACTTGCTAAACTCGTTCCGCCAATCGATGATTTGATCTTGAAATAGCGCGGAACCAAACGACCAAACCACGCAAAACACGAAATAGATTTCGTACCACTCTTTAGGACAATCAGGGGGAACGTTTTCGGGTGTTAAAAAGCAGTCTAGGAGACTAACCAGCATGGTTAAATGAGCAATGTCGGATATAGGCGTTATTTTCTTAACCTTTTTGTGCACAGCTTCGAGGCAAGGCGGTACGTATTTATCAAACAGGATCATCAGATTAGCCTTTTCGCTTTGTATTGTTCGCGTGTCAATCCAGGATGCAATAAATGGGTTCCAGCCGAGATCTGCAGGATTAATGTATAAAATACCAGCTCTGGAAACAGTTGCCGGTGTTGCCGTCCGCAAATTAGCAATTTCAAATAACAGCCTCATGCTACGAGTGAGCGCGATGCGTTCATTACTGGCAAGAGTAAGTACTTTGTTGTCATCCATTAAGGTGTTAAGTGACTCGATCCACATAGGATCGATGTCTCCATCAAGCACAATCCATTTAGGGCCCTCTCCGCTTAAATTCGCCTGATCTCTCATAATAACAGAGAACAAGCCATCTTTCCACTCTCTGGTGGCAGGATTGATCACACCGAATAACTCGTCATTGGTCACAGCTTTTGGATTAAGGTCGTTGTATAACGGTTTCCGCTTCTGATTTGCGTAAGTCTTAATAAGACACTTCCAGACCATTGACTTTCCAGTGCCAGCAAAGCCTATTATAAATACCGAGTGTCTAACGGCGAAAAGTTCCTCAAGTTGAACTACTTTCAGAATAAAACCATCTTCTGGTTGCAGTTTCATTTCGACCGCAGTTCGTTTAATCATTTTTTCAAAATCTATATTGCGTTTTCTGGGCACATCCAGAGCAGGAAATAAGTCACCAATCAATCCCATAAAAACCGGCATATCATCAGTAATAATTTTTGGGATATTGAAATCTCTCAACGCCCTCATAAGTACTTGGTCTTCCGGTCTTTGCTTGTCACCTCTTTTTAGCGACCCAGCAACTACTAATACAGACTTTATGGCTCTCAGCCCCCAGTCATAATGGTCTTGTTTCGTGAGCAATTCCTTACATAGTGTATAGAGGGTTATGAACTTTCGGGCTAAAAGTCGAGCCTCTTGAAAGCCTTCTGCGACCAACATGATTTCGCAAATGAGGGCAAAATCTGGGACCACCATGGCACAAGGCCGAAACAGCGCCTTCAGATTTTCGGGCAACTCCGTTCGACCTGCATAACCTGGGTTCATCGTTATAAAAAGGCCAACCTAAAATAAAATTCCAATATCGTCTAATTTAGCTGGAGGMGAAAAATATCAGGCAAATTTAATAATGCGATGAACGCYAACGGTGTTGAAAATTACATAAAAATATTTGGAAATGGARAGATAATGCCACTGTTTTATAACGCARCAGGMCGACCAGWAAATTTAWGTTTGCRTATGACAAAARCTAAAAGCTGATTRGAACTGAAYMAACTTTATTAAGCATGCAGCTAGCTTTATTAAACATTATTTTATCTACGCATCTACTCTGTCAAGKTGACTAAATGGGAATGTAAACTTAGATAGTATCTACTAAATGGCKCTCTMATTTAAATYCCCGATAKTCGTTTCGRAAAAAACAAAWTTGAATTAAGAGTGGCTCACATAASTGCAACCGCAAATTGTTTAAACTCTGGTGTTTTATCAMTCAATACGAAAACTTGCGGCAGAGTTGAGGTTTACTAATCTAAGGACTTAGAACGCAACAAGTTGAATCTAGTTAGTTACTAACGTAGAGATAACTGCAGCACCGTTCAAACATGGCAGAGTTCCAAACGAGCTCGCACTGGTTAAAGATTAAAGTATAGCGAAAAAACATACTTAAAACCAGGGATCACATTGATTTTATGTGCATGTTTCTCATCTCATCAAATAATAATCAGCAGCTGTTTTCAGCGACTGGAAAATTAACTCCGCAGAAATATTTCTCTTAATTTACCGACTTTCCACCCTTAATTTTTACCCTTAAATAATTGGACCCTTAAAAATTATCTGATTACTTTGAGCAAACCTTAAATGAACGGATTCGATATAAACTGATCATATGAAATTGCAACCCCGAACTAAAATGCCAAATTTGAAATAATCAATGCCTCTAGCCATGTCTAGTCACTTAAAATATCTGAATAGGCACAAGGCGTAAAACATACAGCAAAAGTTTAGCTATAAAGCAAAGCAATATTAAAGCATGTTCTGATATTATTCTGCCAAACTTCTTGCAAGTCATAATGCGCAACTTACCGTGGGTATTAATCCAATATCTTGACCTAAAAAGAAAAATATTTTCTTCTGGTCTTTGATTGCGTCCTGAATTAATTTCACTTGAACSGCAACCACTGACAATACCTCCACTGATATTCTGTTAAACTCGTCAAAGCAACCCCAGCAACCTGTCTGAGCCAATCCCTAATAATATGAAYAACACTTTTAATCTCGTCAACGGCCAATATCTAAAGATTRTTATTTAAATATTTARTTTTTAATATATCCTAGATTAATTACATTATACAGGGCTTTAATTGCTTCATTTCATCTAAATGCCAAGAAGTAAGCAACATATTTYAAAAAWTATGTCGACTAAAAGAGACAATACAACTTAGGTAACATGTTAAGTTTAATTTTAACAGTTATTCCTCGTCTCTAACTACCATACGTTTAAAATTGCATCCCCCACACATCACTATGTTTAAGAAGATTTGTTTCCAATGATGAAGGCAGAAKTAAAATCGGATGGTCGATTCAAGATGTAAAAGAGAAAATGTGTCATGYTAAAAGACAGAATTAATAGTTGACGAAATAACTGCTAATTTAATGATTTGACCTTTTAAATTTATTTTATGAATTGTTGWAAATGTATAAAATTCTTTACGATTTAAATTCCGATAAAATTTGTCACAAATCCTGATCAAAATTTAACGAGAACTAAGGCTGCATTTTTGTGATATTTGATGATCCAGTTCAGGTGGGTTTTCGTAAATAACGGTACTTAAATGACCTCATAAGAAAAAGTCTGGAGGAGCCAGATCTCGAGACCTTGCTGGAAATTATATTTCACCTTTTCTACCTATGCATTTGCCAGGACACTGTTGATAACAAGAATCCAAACGAATTTCCTCGAAAAACTTAGTTAATGTTCGTAAAGATGTTCACGGCAGACTATACCATTGTCTAGCGAATAACGGTGGATATTTTCGACAATTTATTAAATAATTTAATAATCTTTCTGTTTAAATAATATTTTAGACAGACAAATTGCTTTAAGGTAGTCCATTATAAAGTAATGTTCCTCAACGCATCTGTTTATATTTTTGTAACCACACAAAAAAACCATAAGCTTGCATGTAAGATTTAAGAACTATAAAAACATTAACCATAAATGTGTATTTAACAGTTGACATTTCCCATATTTAAAATAGCACTAATGATTCATTTCCCTTGGACAACATGCGCTTCTAGTAAGCATGTTTTTATTAAATCAACGTATGCATGGAGGCCAAAAACCTTTGAAAACGTTGCACAGTTGTATATAGAAGTACATATTCCATAGCATAAATTACTGCGAAAGTAAGGGAAAATAGGGTACATAATTATGAGAAACTGTAGTGTAGACGAGCAGGAAGTCGCGATGAGAAAACCGCAATCAACTAGAAACTTCCAAATTGGTGGGAATTTTTTATGTGAGATAGTTCACTTTGTTATATTTAGTTCCACCTGGGGCTTATGAGCAAAAGGAAACGACGTAATATGGCAAGCTAAAAAAGTGAGAAATACATTTTGCAGTCTATTTTACTAGATTCTCAGTAGTGAATAACAAAACTGAAACATAGACAATACGAGCAAAACACGCTCATTTGTCAGAAAATGTCATAACTATCACGGCAATATAGTAATATCAAAAGCTTATCAACACAGAATCGTTGATGGAAAGAAGAAAACTCAACTGCTTTGAAACCAGTTGACCAAAACTCCTTAAAGTGGTTTAAGACGACGAACTTCTGAGTTCTGTACTTCCGTTTGAAACTCCAAAGGTCACTCGAGCGCTAGCTAATATGTATAACATTCAGCAGACTTATTTGAAATGTTCCTTTGTGTCCACTTTAAGCTTCCTGTGGCTGGAGGCAAATGCGAAATGCGGAAAATCAATCGCTTTAGAAGCCACATAAACGTTCAAGTTGGTATATTAAACAGGATGACACACTAGAAAATAATTTGTTGATTCGAATACAACTATAAATGCTCGTAGCATGATAATCGATTTGGAAATACATTTAGGACAATTAGCTGCTGTAATAGGATGCATTTTAAAAGGGACGTTTTTTAATAGAAATCTGAGGAAAAGAATGCCACGATTGTGACAAAACTAGTCAAAATGCGGATGACCAAATCGAACCCACCTTATAAATATTGCCAATGGATTTGTAATCCATTTGCTCCGAACAATTAAATACGTACACCATCATACCAAGAGCTTTGCCAAGGTCTTTGGTAGTTTCTGTTTTTCCAGTACCGGCAGGCCCAGCTGGAGCCCCGCCCATTATCAAATGCAAACTTTGAGACAATGTAATATAACATCTAAAACAGGAACAAATCCAAAACAATGTTTTTATAATTATCGCTATGAAGAGTTTTAGTGCAAACGCAGGATAGCTGGTTATAATGTAAGTTGAAGCAACAACTTGAAGCAAAAAAAAGTAAAAGCCGATGACAATCTGGGACGTCTGGTGAAAAAAAATTAGTTCCAAATAAGTACTGTTTCCAAGCATTATGAGCAGTTACAAAAAAAATACTCTGGTTCTCTATATCAAGACGTTGTCAGCGATAAGCTCCAATGCAGATGGCAAAACCGTACGTGTATCTTTAAGTAGTTCGCATAAAACATGAAAATTAATCGCAAATGGTCAGTCAAAAACTGGGAAATAACTGTTTTCTTGATTCAAATCTTTTCGATATATAATTTATGGATTACAACTAATACCTTTAGATACTTAAAACGCACGGCGTCGTACAGAGAAACCCTAACAAAACTTTGTTACCGGCTAAATAACTACTGACAAAATATTACTTATTGCACATACGATTCAATTTTCTTATCTATTACCGATCAAACGGGGCAAGAAGAAAATTATGTTCAATTTCGCTTGAAAACAAGGAGAACAAAATTTTATTGTGATAACCTCTGTGTACTTTTTCCCCATTTTAAATGAAAATCCCCATCATAGTTTGGGTTAGTTTTGGTTGGGGTAAGGCGTACAAAATCATCACGAAAAGACTAAATACGAGATCAAGACATACGCCAGATGAACAGGTAGTCAGGAACCAAATAAATAAATAATTCCCAACGAAAGCAATATTTCACTGGACAGAATCAACTCCAGAAACAAACAATACGGTTACCCCTTTTAACTTGGAAGAGTTAAAAATTGCTATCGGAGAAAGGAAACTAAATAAAGCACCTGGGCCTGATTGTATTACCCTGGAAATTCTTAAAGCATGCATTGACGCGTGCCCACAAATATTCCTAAACACATTTAACAACTGTTTAGAAAATGGAAAAAAGGCGTATAGACCTCTGTGTCTAATCGATGACATGGGGAAACTTCTCGAATCCCTAATAAGGAAAAGACTGTTTGAGGAAATGGAAGCAAAGAGGCTGCTACACCCCAACCAATTTGGGTTTACCAAAAGTGAATCTACTACTGATGCAATAAAGAAGATCTGTTGATCTGAGCGATGAAATTAAACAAAAAAGCTACCAGCACCGAGACGTGTGCTTATTGATCCTCCTAGATATTGAAAACGCCTTTAACTCTGTGCCGTGGGATGGTATCGTCGATTCTCTATACAAAGATGGCATACCCAATTATCTGATTCAAATTATAAAATCCTACCTTAGCAATAGATCTATTATCAGTCCAAATGGTGAAACTATACCAATCACATGCGGTGTTCCACAGGGATTTATTTTAGGACCAACACTATGGAATATCTTTTATAATAGGATATTAAAGGTCAAAGTAGAGCGGGGAACAAATTTAATAGCACATGCCGACGACCTGGCAATTACCGTCAGTGCAAAGAACAAGGAACAAAAAATCTCAAAAACTACCCTTGTCATAAAAGATATTGTTGAGACTCTGAACGGCATGGGGATAA